CTATGTACTTGGAATATATCACATGAAGTTACAGAGAGAAACAACAAGCAATCTCTGTAGGGTGTAAGTATGATTTTAGGGTGTAAACTACATCATCCTTATGGTATTAACATAACTCTTCAGGAAATTAGCATTTGCTCTCCATGATTTCTAACACCCACTAAATAACCTGGTGGCTGTCCCTTTGTTGCCATACATAAATTGGCTTTAATGAGGGGATGGGATGTTTATCTTCAGTGCTATAGGTGAACCATCAGACGAGTATTCACAGAAACCACTCTAGGTCAAAACTAAGACAAATCTGCTTACCATCTGTACATCCCCCCCAGGCCCAAGCTAATGAAAACCCTTTTGCTTATGTCAGCTCTAGAAGCTACTGTGCTACATTGAACAAACAAGGTTTAGGACCATAAATATGTTTTGAAATTTCCTTTCCTCTAACACCTGCTTTCAAGAAATAGAGGTGTCCTTACATAGTTAAATAACATTACTAGTAACCCTGTACCATGACAATTGGATGGAAAACTTTGCCCTAATGTTATTTCTGTAATAGTTTGGTCTATATAAGCTACATTTTTTTTCAAAAAGAACTTGTACTGGCATATATTAAATTAGCTGCCTTCTGTGGCATTGCTTCAAAAAAGTTCTCACTGTGTTCACATGGATGCGATGTGTTGAATGACAATGTCCTGGTATATTTGACAGTATTACTGTAACACAGGAATAACAATTGATACACAAAGCATCCCTGAAGTTGAAGGTAGACTTTTATCTGAAAAAAAAAAGTCTCTGGTTTGACATCAAAGATAAATGCTATGAAGGACATTTTGCTTAATAGTTTAGCAAGCCCTAATGTATGAGAAAGTTTTTTTTAAGACTAATGACATTCAGCCATCAACTATTTTGCTTTCAGTTGCTAATACCGAAAAATAGCTTAGTATTTATATAACTGACTTTGAAACAGGAGATGGAATTTGTGCCCTCTCTTTGGCCTCTGCACTATTGCTATCACAAGGATAGGAGAGAAAAGACATGGATTATGCAATCTCTATGGTATTTTTTGGCATTAATATTTCATGCTCTGTGAAACAGTGAGTGGAAGGCCTCAAGAGAAAGAGAAATAGCTATTCTTAGCTACCCAAGATCGGGATCATGACCAAGCTCTGTGTTAAGACTATGTCCACAATAAGTGCAAATGAGATAATAGAGCATTGAGTGACAGCTGCTTAGTTATTGCATAAGATTTTCAGTCTTCCTTCTATGGCATGGATATGGTTTGTGTGTGTCACCCAAAGTTTCATGTGTTGGAAAGCAATCTCCACTGTGGTGGTACTGGGATGATGGAAACTTTAAGAGAAGGGACCTGGTGGAAGATGATCTCTGGGGACACTGCCCTGGAAAGGATTAATATAGTTCTTAAGGGAGCCTGGTTAGTTCTCAAGAGAGTGGGTTATTATAGAAAGCACAAGTCTGGCCTCTCAATCTTGTTTGCTTTCCATCTTGCCATGTGATTGCTCTCTTCCTCCGACATGTGCTCCTTCATGATGCCATCTGCCATGTTGGAATGCAGCCAGAAGGCCCTCACCGAAAACCAAACCAATGGACTCACCTAAAGTTATATTTTCAACTTCCAAAAGTGTGAACAAAAATCCTCTTTTCTTATGTGGTTCTCAGTCTAAAGTATTTTGTTATAGCAACAGAAAATTAACTGTTGTCATAGTACACCTATTCATGATAGCAATCACCAAATTAAAATTCTAGGTACCCTTGAAATTAGGAATAAATGTACACTTAAATGATATAGCACTTATTTCTGTTGTATGCCGTTTTGTTTTGTTTTTAAAACTCATCCTATCAATAGTATTTGTGAAGACAGACAATCTTATATTGCAGAAGAAATCAACCACACATAGTGTAAACAAAGAGTAGAAACCTTTGTAAAATATCTCCATCAGACATAGCAACAAGAAAGAAAACTTTTTCTGTTGTGAAAAACAATGCCATATAGAGATCTAGACTTGTTTCATTAATTCTTTTAGGCTAACAAAATTAATTCTAATTCAAAATTACCTGAATAAAACAAAACTACATCTTTTCAACTGGCTAAAAGATGGCCAGATTTCCATAGGATAGATGTTAATTGAATATTCTGTTGTAGATTGCCCCTAAGCCTGCCTGGAAATAGCTACAGAAAGAAAACCATCACGACAGACACAGACTTCTCCCTGGTCCCTTACTTCCCTCCTATGCTGGCATCCTCCCATTCTCTATTGATCTGCAGTGACTCCCATTGTAATCAAAGGTTTCCCACATTTACTTTCAGCTGACAGCCCCAGAACATAGTACTGAAAACACTGAAGCTTATATACATATTCCTCTATTTTCTCAAATTCCCTCAAAGAATTTTTACATGCATGGACCATGATAAACTGGCTACTAGAAGAAAAGAAGTTGTCAGCCATATTTTATTAAGTTTAAGAGTCTATTATTTGAGACCATTTATATTCTCCTATGTTTCTAAGATTCAAGTTTTAAGCAGCATTGCATATTAAATTTCTGTAAGATACAAACCATCTATACATCTGCTCATAGTATGTCTTTATGAACAGAAATTTACAATAAGTTGTTAGCCAAGGAATATCTCTACTTGCTAATTCAGGATGATTTTCACTATCCTTCTTTATGACAAAATAAATAAAATATTTGTACAATAGTTTAAAAAAAAGACCCTAATTAGGTTATAGCCAATGAAAAGATCTTGATGAACTAGATTGTAAAGAACCACTTCACTCTGTCTCTTGAAAAAGGTTTCAGGTAAGCAGCATCATAAGTGTTTCCACACATTGAAAAGCAATGGAAATTCCCTGTGTCCCAAAAATCCTTAGTTCACTACAGCTATTGTTGGGGCATACTTCTCATGAGTAGAAGCAATTTAATGCTACTCTGACCTAGATATAAAAGAAAAAATTTGTATGATAGACACAATTGACACATTTCAAACCTCTGAACCAAAAAATAAGCCTGAAAGTAAAAAATTACAAAAGTTCACTTGGATCTAAAACAGTTACAGAACAATTTGTTCAAATTATTATTTACTCAAGCATAGATTTTCACAACTCTTTTGGTTTAATGACCTATGTAGGGTAGTAGGCATGGCTCAAGTGGTAGAGCACTTGCCAAGCAAGTGCAAGTTCCTGACTTCAAACCCTAGTACTGCTATAAAAAAAAGGAAAGACCTATGTAACATACAATGAATAGTGAGTTAATAAATCACCCAGCAAGTGTTGATTGCGCTAATATTCTAGATAATCTACTACGAAATGCCATGCCAATCAAAAAACTTGTCTACTTGTCCCACTATTAAAACACAGGAATTAATTACAAATCAGTGTCAATTTCAAGCCAACTTCTTTTTTCCTTTCTTTAAGATTCCTTCTTAGTAGCATCCACCTTCAACTAACCTTGGAACTATTTAAAGAAGCACTTCAAAAGCTGATATCAAACATAAGCTTTATCAGCTCACTTTATGTATATTTTTAATTAGGAGACATTCCCAAATTTAAGGTTTCGCTTAGGCAGATCACTTCAAATGCCATCTCTTTGTAACAATTCATTCTTTCCCATTGCTTCAATATAATTTCCTTTTCTCTTTCTTATAAATACCTCCAACATATAATTCATTTGTCTTCATTTTGGGATACTATGCCAGCCATCTAATTGCCTACCCTCTTCCCTATGCTCCCCAAAAATGCTAAGCTAAGTTCCTCTAGAGACTAAGCTCTGTTTAGCACACATTCCACTGTCAGAGTCTGCCTTGTTTCTGAATTACAGTGAAGGGTGAAGACTCATCGTCCCTTTGAATTTCTCCAGCCAACATGGATTAGCAATTAGAGAACATTTAACTGCATTTTCTTTTTATGTCTGTTGATGTTGCTGTGAACCTGCAATTTTTTTTTTCATGAGACTCTATCCTATTCAAAAGCCAAAGTAATAAAGGGGAAGAGAGAAAATTAAGAAGGAAAATGAGAAACCATCCAGAAGCTTCTCTGGTTTTTGTTGTTTCTTAAATTTTCAGGTTTCAAACTTCAACTTCTCCTTAGTAGACACTTGGATTTTTTAAAAGGTGTTCCTCACACAGCTTGTCTACTGTTTTAATCAATGTAAATTCTAGGAGAAGTGAGGAAACTATATGATTTTTACTTTAAAACAGTTCTATAAATATTATCTAAAGTTTGATTATATAATCAGGAGAAAAGTGCCAAATTTTAGAAACAAACATGGTAGTACTGGTTAAATCAGAGTTTATTCATTTTAACTGTGTAATTCCAAAACATCTTTAAAATGTAGAGTGCAGTTCAACCACAGGACTTTTTAAAGAGGGAAGCAGGAATCACCTGAATCAAGAGAGGAACGTTTTGTTACCCTGTCTTTCTGTCTCTCTGTGCCATGTTTTAGGCCTGGTGCCTTTACATAGCACCCTCTGCTAAAAGTGTCATTCCTTGAAATTTATTCTATAGTGGACATGTGTGTATGTGTAGTCTGTATATGTAATTTTGCTTTTACAACGTTGGCAGTCAGAAGCAGCCTTCTAATTTTATTCAGCATGATGATAGGCCCTAGCATTTTAATTATTTTTCATGTTGTGAGTAATTTATTATTCATTGGGTATCTTCCCTGTAAATCTTGTCCTCGCTCTATAAGATTTTTCTTTGGTGTCCAACAAAGGGTTTCATTGCAATAAGAATCAAGGTGTGTCTAAGTTCTTACCAGAGCCCAAACAATGCCAGCCTTCCAGACAAGCCCAGGAGTTTGGGGTGGGGAAACAGAGTCATTTTAGAATATCTTTATCCCTCTGCCCAGAGAGCACCAGAGTTATCACGCATGCCTTTCTAAAAGGGCATCTCGAAGCACATCCTGCTGAAGAGCATAATTCTAGACCCAAAAGACCTGGACTAAAATTGAATCTCACTGGAGTTCGTGTGCAAGAGAAACCCATAGGGATGGATTGGCTTCTTTTCAGAAACATTTGCCTTTTGATCATCTTAATGGTAAGTAGAACTTAAAGACCTGGAAAGGATATGCAACTTAGAGGTCTTCCATCTTTTGCCCACTCTTGGGCTTTCTACATGAGATTTGTTCCAGTTTTAATTTCCTTTTTGTAAAGAGAGATCTGGGAGTTCATCCTCTGTTGATTTGAAAGGACTCTTGACCCCCCAAGGGACTGAATGACATAGAAAAGCAGAGTGGAATCTAGTTGAGTTAGATTTCAGTGGCTTCAATCTAATTCAGATCAAATGCCAGGAAAATTCTAAAATTTATAATTGGAAGTAAATTTCTTTTTCCATTATTTTTTACTTACACTTAAATCAGATAGATTGCTGCAAAAATTCCAAGTACAAATGAGGTTTGAAAAAGTTTTAAAAAGTTATTTCCCTGTAAGTCTCTTTTAAAGTACAAGGGGGGTTATCAGCTGTGTCAAAATTCTGTTGCATTCAATATGAAGTTTTTAAGTCATATAATGAGAGCATTCCTATAGACCAAAAAGGAACCATTTAAATGATTATTTCTTTAAATTAAGCATGACATTTTGGATATTATATTGCTTTCCTCTAATCCTGGGGTGGCCAAGAAGTGGAGTGCCTCCCAGATAGGCACCATGCATAGTGAGTTCCCTACCCTTGGGAGAGGTAAGGCAGTAGCTTGTAATTCCATATCCAGAACAAAGGTCAGGTTGGTCAATTCACCAAACTATTGCCTCTTCAATTAGAAAAGTTTATTTAAAGAATAGATTAAGCTAATTTAGATTAAATTAGATTTAAGTCCATTGCTAATCAAATAATAGAACAAACCAATGAAAATATATTAAAACGAGAAAGCTAAAGAAAGGAAATTGTACATTTTCTTCAAAGCAAATTAAGGTAACTATTCCATACTTGGATACACCTCAGTCTCCCACGAATGACCACAGGGGTACAACGACATAAGTTTGGAAAATGATTCCCATGCTATTATCAGGCAAGTGACATTATCCCAACTCATAAGAACATCAGTTCTAAGGGACAGGGCAGCCAGGGCTGGAGGAAATGGGAACATATCGTTGCACAGTGAGTCTTTTCTTCTGAAGTTTAGTTTCTATGAACTTCAGAAGTAATGCAGGTGCCCAACACTGCCAAAAGGCACAGAGCCCAAGCTTGGAAAAGAACGTGAGAACAGAAGTGGAATATTCCATTCTCTTAGTTTAGGAGACAAATTACTAAACAAGATCATCTTTGAAAATCATTTTAAAACTAGAAAACATCAGATAGAAGTGCAATTCCATGTTATAATGATCATTGTTAATTTACTAAATGAAAAAGTTATTAAAGGGAAAGTCAAGAATCTGCCTCTGTCTTTAATAGAAGTAGTAAGGTGTTGGTGTATAGCTATTGTTACCTCCATGCTTTCACTCAGAACGGGCTTTGGTGTAATGCAAGGAAAACATCTCATGTCAAGATTTTAGAAGCAACTTCTAAGCACTAAATTTTGCCTTCTATTGCTTTCTGCTCAGGCATGTTTTATGACAAAATCACTTAATTGAAGAGTTAATTCTTCTCCTTGATCTCAAAAGAGTATTATATTTTAGATTCTAAGGGTCTCTTCTTGGTAGCATTAGTTTATTTCCCTTAGTAATCTTAGTGGGTTTTGATATTGATGTATTTGTGGTTATTATGAAACATGTACGTTCTTATACATTTCTAATAGACCCCTCAAGATTTTAATTAATAAATGTCTGGAACTGGGAAGTAGAGACTTCTAGCGTATTTCAAGATTGAGAAAAATGTAAGACATACTTAAAGAGAATCAATGTGATATTATAGTGCTATAGGAAAACAGGCATTCCCACTTGTCTTTAATTTCCTACACTTGAACTTTGCCCCTTCTTCACTAAATCAAAGATTCTCTGGAGCATCATTTCATCTTACACTAATGAGGGTGTGGTGACTTCTCAGAGACTTACGGGTGTTATGTGTCAGCCGCATCTCAACCTCAACAAGTACTTTAAACAAGGTTTTGACTGACTTAACCAATAAAAGGTACCCAAAACTCCAGGTTTCAACAGGGTGTTTCATTTTATCACAAGAGTCCTTTGGCATTTTCTTCCTAAGGATATTCACGTGTTTTTCTGCTATTAACTGGATGGGGAGGGGTGGTACAATCAACACTGAACCGAGACTTAGATGTCACAGGTTTGAGTCACAGCACCCCTTTAAAGTGACAGTATGACTTTGACTATAGCACTCAACTCCTCAGAGCTTTACTGCACTCCATGGAGAATGCAGGGTCGGACATGATGTCACCAAGTTTCTCTCACTATGGAAACTCTACAATTCTCTATTACTATTGAATACTTAAGCAGTAGAAGATCACGTCTGGCTTCTGAACATTATTTTCACAAATTTGCCTAGAGAATCTAAAGGTTTAGGTTACGAGTTGTATAAATTTTATTGGAAAGGAATTACTGGAGGCTGAACAGTTATTACTTGAATAAAGCCTGTATTTTATCAAGTTAGTAAGATCATAAAAGACAGCCATTGATCAGATAAAAATGTTTGTCCAAATACAGTGACCGTTCATGCTACATGTGAGATGTAAACACTCCAATTAAATGTCCTGGTGTTTGGAAAGTAAAAAGCGTAGGTGGTTAATCACATAGATATTATCTCATTATAAGTTGAAAACAGGCATCAAAATTCAAAAACATATTTAAAACTAACCTAGCTTCATCAGTTTAGTTCTCACACAAAACTACATTATTTTGTATATGGCACAGAAATTGTTTTTTTTTTTAATTTTGACAGGCAAGGTTCTAGAAATATAATGATGGAAGGAAAAACACATTGTTTTTTTTTAATACTAAGACAGCATATCCTAGATAGCATTAAATGATTGTCTCAGCAGTTATTTTAGAAACTACTGATGGCCTCATAACAAAAAAAGGTTATATGGAAGCAAATCTTGTCTCTATTATTTTTTGTTGTTGTTGGTATAAGTGGCTAAGGAATTAAATATATAAAACATTATTTCATGTTATATTATATATTACATTGCATTGTATTACATTATATTGCATTATGTTACATTAATTATATTATATTATTATAAACCAAGTGGACAAATTTACCTTTTTTCTTTTTTATTTATTTATTTTTTTGGTGGAACTGGGGCTTTAACTGAAGGCCTCATACTTGCTAGGCAGGCACTATACCATTTGAGCCACTCTGCAGCCCATAAATTTATATTTTTGCCTTCAAATTCCTGAAGAGTAAATGGTAGTAATTTCACCTAAAAAGAAGTTTTATATTCCAACAGATATCCTGTATGCTATATCTTATATAACATACCCTATAGCTTTTGAATAGTTTTTAAGCAATATCTACCTAAAGAGTTTCAGGATAAAAATTCTTCCCTAGAAATATTTCATATCTCTTTAGACTCTAGGATGCTTTTTCTTTTTAAAAGATACTTCTACTTTTTGAGACGTTCTGGGTCCTAAGTACCTCCTGCTTCAGTACCCAGGGAGGAATTCCTCAAAGAGCAATGAAACCGTTGATTGAGCTGCAGTGACATTTCCTTCCTTTTCCCAAGCGGGATGGCAGTTGACATTCCTCATTCATGGAAACCAGGTCTGATGACAGGGTGTGTTACAAGACAGACTAGAGTGAATCCCTCAGGTATTACTTGCATGAGAAATGTTTGCCCTTCCTTTCTACACAGAAAATTACATGGCTCACAAACTAAAGTGCCATTACTTGATATACCTTCAATTATAAACAAAAGTGGTATAATTAGGCTTGAACTTGGCATCTCTACTATATTCCTAGGAAGATGGCTACTGCTTTACTCAATAATTTTATAAGCATTATTCAGGAGAGAACTGCTTATTAATAAGTTGGTTCTAGGTGTGTGCAAATCATTTCAAAACTGACTTCAAAAAGGTAAGTCATAAAGATGAAAAATAGCTCTGTTCAGTGGCTACTACTTTAAATACATTCAGTATTAAGAGAATACTATGTATTCAAATATTGCAATGAGTCCAGGAAATGACTTAGATTCCACATATCTCTTTTAAACATCAGATTCTCTACGACCAAGTATTGAAAGAGAAAACAAGGCCCAGAAAAATTTCCATGATTTGCTAAAAGCTACACGGCAATATAATATTGTATATTACATTATTTCCCCTTGGAATTGTACATACCATACCAGTCAGAATTTGTCTTGCATGCAAAAAAACATCAACTGTCAAATGAAACTTCTTCAATGAATGAATGGGTTTACTTTTTAACTTCTGTTTCTTATCAAGTCACTAGTCCTATTTCTTACCTATATGTTGATAGGTAACTTTAATGTGATTAACAGCTTTCCAAATAAGCTTGAATGTTTTTAAACTGAGACAAACAGAAGGTGGTTATCTGGGATAAGGGCTGCCATTGTACTGCATTTTTACAATACAGTTAACAAAGTTATTTCAACATATTCCAAAAACTCTGAAAAAGTTTTGGAATTAAAAAAAAATGCTGAGGGAGAAATGAGTCAGATAAATTATAACAAGGACATTTTAAATTTGAATTCAATACCACAAAACCAAAACTCTTTCAGCTGTGCTAGAATTGATTCCCTTTACCCTTTGGGCCCATGCTGAACTTTCTACATGCTTCTCTTACAAAGTTAAATACCTTCCAGTTCTTTTTTCTTTTCTTTTACTGTCTTGCCCCTCTCTTTTAGTAGGTAATCTTTTCTAAGCAGAAACTATGTCTTACTCTTCACTGTGTGCTCATGAATTAGTACAGACACAAATATTTATTTTCTTACTCTTTTGTATTGATTGAAAAAACCCTGTTCATATTCCTTCCACTAATGCAATTTATTATAAAGATAACAGAGAAAAAGAAAAGACAATTAGCCAGATCCATACAACCTGTGCGACATTTAGGGAACATTTTTCCAGGTTGTTTTGCTCCCTCAACAGCAGGTACCTCTAACTCTCTTTTTTAGTATTCTACCAGTG